TCACTTGGTAGGTGTGAGCAGAACAGTAGGAGCTACTGACACGAGCTGCATAACACGAGCTGTGTGCGTGTGTGTGTGTGTGTGTGTGCGTGTGTGTGTGTGTGTGTTACCTGTCGAGGCTGAGTGGGAATGCAGTGCTGGCTGTAAATGTGTCTAAGAGGCCTGAGGATCTCTGTTCCTCCCAGATCAGCCTCCATCTCTTCAACTTTCTGGTAGGAAGGATTAAGAGAGAGTCAAAGCGGTCTGAGACGGATATGAATAATTATATTATAGAGTTAACATCTGCTGAATACCCTGGCACTGCTGATGCGAGTTCCTTGCTGCTTGCTGTTACTGGTAGGACAGTCCATACTTCCAGATCGATCCAGCAAGAACACAAACTCTCCACATGAGGCCGCTGAAAACTTCACAGACTGGGGGAACTCAGGATACAGACTCACCATCACCACTGGATCACCCATCAGAGTACCTGAAACAGGACAGGGACACAAACATCACTTCTGCTATTTATCCCAAAGCAGCCACAAACTGCTAGGGTCGCTGTCTGTCTCTCACCAGTCTTGGCTGAGGCCTGTCCTGCCTCCACCACAGCAGTGGGCTGGTGGGCATCTTTGTAGTAAATCAGCAGCTCAACATCTCTGTCAAACTTTGCCGTCAGTACAGAGGACCAAGCACACACAGCTCACACATCAGCACTCTGCCTACTGTGGCCTGAGTTTGATTGGTGTTGAGGTACTGCAGAGGGTCCAGGGAGCAGCTGGACTCCACCTTAGATATTGGACGAGGAGAGAAGAGTCGGGCACAAACAGACAGAGTTTAGGGAACCAGAGAGGCCGGAACAAAGAACACCTGCACACTGGCACCTTCGACACCTGGAAACACCATCAGAGACAGCACCTGGGAGTCAGCAGCTTGTGTTTGACTCGGAGGCTTTGTGAAGCTCGTGGCTTCAGAGAGGACTTAGACATGTTAACACAATTACTGCACCGTAGTCTTTGACCTCCACCACAATACCGTCACAATGAAAGTCCACACATGTCTGCTTTGCACTCATGTAGAAGGTGTTTGCTGCTTTTCCTACCCTGAGGTTGGTAGCGGGGGTTGAGCACAGCAGGCAGACAGAACCTCAGCCCGTCATCAGCCTGCACAGCCAGCTCAGTGACATTTAATTGTAATGTCAGTCACTACTATTCTGCTGTTTATTCTTCAGTAAGAGGTAGAGGGCAAGACACTTATCATGTCTCATTATAAAACATTGAAAAATCAGGTACAGTTCACAACATACAGTTTAAATACTGGGAACTGCAGCGACCAGTATTTTAATTTAATTTAAAGGAAAATATCTTGCAGTGTATTTTTTAACAACACAACTGAACAGCTTTCCTAGTCAGTTGCTCATTTGAAATTCATTGTCAGCCTGGAGATAATTAACATTTCCATTAAACTGGGTAACTGCTCTGGCAGTTGCTCATTCCAGACAGAAGTAGTAGAGAATACAGGACACAGAAAACCTGTATGCTAACTATAAGAGGACACAGAAACGTCTGCTATAGTCTAAACCTTCGGGCATATTGAACAGAAAGTGTGCTCAAAAAGACATGCGAGCCGAGGTGGAGGAGAGAGGACACTGGGGAAGTAAGGTGGAGTTTCTCCTGGCTGTTGCTGGAAATGTCGTTGGCCTGGGTAACGTGTGGAGGTTTCCTTACCTCTGCTACAAAAATGGAGGAGGTAAGCACATGAGGCTCACTTCACGCCTGTGTTGAATTTGCAGATTTGGTGACTATATTTAGTGTCATTTTTTAAATTTAGGGCCTGTTAATCTGTCACATGCTGTCAAGTGGCAAAATAGCAACAATCTTTCCAGAATCACGAACTTCACATCTGAAATTGACTAAGCTTCTGCCCATTCACACTAAAAACATGTCTGAATTATTTAGTCTTTTCAAATAAATTTGAAAAGCTACTTAGTGACTAGATCTGTGATCTCACTTAAGGGGATGTCCTCCAATTATTTGTTCTCATCAAACCACTCAACACAGTCCAGTAACACAGAAAGATCAGCAAATGCTCATGATTTAGAAATTGGACTGGAGACTGGAGATGAATTCAGCCATCAGCAAATACATTCTGTGCTTCTGACTTGTTATCCAGATAGCAATCCAAAGTCCAAAGCTGCTCAGTTCACAGAGATGCACGTCTGGCTGACACAATCGTCAAAATCTTCTAAATGACTCATGAGTTTATAATCATTCACAAAATCTACCCCAAGGTTCACAGTCTCATAGGTGGGATTAATCAGTTCTTAAAAAACATACACCTTTGTGTAAATCTGGTTGTCGTCTACGTCAGGGGACATCAGCCAAGGACCCAAGTGCAGACACACACACAGCAAGCAGGCAAAAGCCACAAGTTGTGAGAAAGAAACATACTGAAGGTTAACAGGAGAATAAACAAAAGGTGGCTGCTGTTCCAGGAATGCATAAGCCAAGAAATGAAGAAACCCAAAAACTCACAAAGACACAGTGGACTTAACAGGTGCAGTGAACACACTAGCTGGCAGGAGAGCAAGGTAGACAAACAGAGGAACTGGCAACTGACAGGGCTGAAGCTAAACTAAAGAGTCAACATTTTCCAGCAGAAGGGGCAGGCAGGACGTGGACACAAAAATGGACAGCCTGAAGGTCAAACTGGTGGAGCGCAGCAGTGGAAACTAAACCTCTCTAGAGGCTGGCTCGGGGATTGGAGGCAGAGATAGACTCCCCTGAGAGGCTAGGCAGGAGGCCGGTGGCAAAGGCCGTCTTGATGTCATCTATGTCTTCTAAGCAGGTCCCCTTGATGAGCCCTTGAGCTTGGGGAAGAAGAAACGATCCCACAGAGCCAGGTGGGGTGAATAGGGAGGTTGCTCCAGCACGGAGATGTTCTTCTCAGTCAGGAACTGTGGGATGCTCAGGACATTGTGAGCAGGTTGTCATGGTGAAGCAGCCACCACTGGTCCTGCCACAACTCTGCCTCTTCTGGCACTCTGAATGAAGCAAACGCTGCAGGATCTCTTTGTAGACGTGCTGGTTGATCTTCTGGCCCTATGGCAAGAACTCGCAGCAGACGATGCCCCTCACATCGAAGAATGTGATCAACATGACTTTGACTTTGGACGTCGACTGTCTTGCTCTCTTCGGCCTTGGTGACGTGGGACTCTTCTGCTGAAGGCTCTGG